TCTGTAAAAGGGGTATATTTGGTAAAAACGTGTGTCTACCCGCTTTATTTTTACATTTTCTCGATCAGAGTTGACTACGATTATGTACACCGTTCCTCTGACATTAGGAAACGCACATATTATGTTCCAGGACCGGGGGTGTCCCATTAGTGTTTAAAAAAATGATGAAATACCAAACTTTATTTTACTGTTGTTTATTGCTTCTCTTCTCAGAAACTATAAATAAGGCACGTAACCAAGGATACAGTCATGTGATCGGTTTTCATAGCAACTTGATGTGCCAAGAGCTCGCCGTCGATGTCGGAATGGACGTGATTGGGAATTCCTGTCTGCTCCGTGACATTTCATTCAAGGAAGGCAAATATTTTAAGAACATTTGTCCACGAAATTCAAGGATTATGGCGATGGTTTACGATTTCCTGGTTTAAGTTTAGCGACACATAGAGTAGATCATAAAAAGAAAATAAGCTAGTATCCGGGCTAATATCCGTTTTTTTTTTTAGTGTCAGCCTACAATGAAATTATCGTCTGGGGACACTGTCCCACATGGCCATGAATATTGAGTATTTAACTATGCTGAAATGTATACATTTTTTTTCTAAATTGCTTTCAATAAATGTTTCACTATACTTGTAATGGTTGATTAATGTGATTTGTCGAAATAATTTGAACCTCTCCTATTAGCAGCGCCATCTAGTGGTGGCGGCCTTCCCTGACGCATAAGGACCACTTTCCCGGAAGTAGCGAGACTGGGGTGCAGAGATACGCCTGCTTTGTCATTGCGGAAAATACAAACATGTCAGTTTTCTGATAGTCCATAGGAGGGATTTTGTGTTGTGACGTCTATTGGTACACCCAGAAGTAAATTATCACGCGTGCAAGTTTAAGTTACTCCCCCAAACTACAACGCCGCATTTTCGACTTCCGGGAAAGTAGCCTTATGGGTGAAAGATCAGCTGTTCACAGAGAACATATTATTTGATCTGCCATCGACTTTGACTAAAAGTATTAAGTATCTTACAATAAATGCATCCGGTGAGAAACTTCTCGCGAATAACCGAACAATACTGAAAGTTATGGTAGTAAATCATTTTAGATTGAGTTTTCAGAATTGCAGGACTGCAGTTATGTTTGGATAAAACATATCGTTGTGTTTTTATATACCTTATATATAAAACATGTTTTTGAAAATCCGGTCTCTCACCTCCTTTGCTATTATTGTTGATTTTTTCGCCGGAGTGATAAATAAATAACCTATCCAACCGCTGGACTGAATTAATGATATTATCCAAAAAACATAGATTGGACGAAAATCGGTCGTGTTTTGGTGATAAGGCCCGATTTTCAAGGTGATACCAATGTCTGCTTTTCTGGTACTGAACGAACGTTTTAAATAAATACTGCCACCAAGAGTTTTCCATCCGAAATAGTTGTTCTTGCCGCTAGCGGCGCTGTATACATGTCAATGTGAACCAAGATGGCGCTGCCCATGCGACGAATGACGTGCAGCATTTAATAAATAAACAAATGATGATTACTTGTCGGCACTGAGGATCCCTTTCGCCGATATTATCACCATGAGTGCTAAAAGAAAGGAAGGTGAGTTTGAATCGATGGCCCCGTTTATGATAAATCTGTGCTCTATATCAGACAAGGGTGCAATCTTAGCCCTACTCTTTTTAACATTTTCTTAAATGACTGTTTCAACTCTGAAAACTGTGACTCCCCGGTTCTTGATAATTTAAAAGTAAGTTGTCTCCTATATGCAGATGATGTTGTCATTTTATCTAAATCTGCTAGGGGGCTACAAAACTGTTTAGACAACTTAAAAATATATACTAGTATGTCAAAATGGCGCCTGGCTGTTAATACAGAGAAAACAAAGGTTATTGTATTCAATAAATCAAACAGAGCCCTGAGCAATAATATATTCTTCTTCGCTGAAAAAGAAATTGCCGTTGTTAAGCAAATTAATTACCTGGGTATAACTATAAGTGCTAATGGCAAACATAAAGAGGGTATCAATAATTTAAAAAATAAAAGGATGAAAGCTCTCTTTGCTTTGAAATGCAAACTCGGTTATGACAACTCACTAAACATACCCCTCCAACTATCTTTATTTGACAAACTGATAAGATCCATTATTGTATATGGTAGTGATGTTTGGGGTGATGAAAGCACAACTAAGTCTGCAGTTGAGGATGTCC